TGGGATGTGTGGGGCTGGGATGGGGATCCAGGGCACTCCAAGGGGCTGGGATGGGATCTGTGGGTCTCCATTGGACTCTGGGGCTCCATAGGGCTGGAATGGGGCTCCATAGGGCTGGGACACAATTCCAGGGGTCTCTCTGGGTCTGATCCCGCCCCCCAGGTCTCCACACAGTGCAGCGTCTTTATGGCTGTGACCTCCTGTCTGACGGGAGCGTCCGTGGATCCAGGCAGGATGGCTTTGACGGGCGGGATTTCATCTCCTTCGAGCTGGGATCCAGGAGCTTCGTGGCGGCCGATGGAGCTGCCCAGGTCACCAAGAGGAAATGGGAATCTGATGGGATCACGGTGGAGAGATGGGCACATTACCTTGGGAGCATCTGTCCAGAATGGCTCCAGAAATACATTGGATACGGGCGGGAGGTGCTGGAGCGCAAAGGTGAGGGAGACAGAATTCCCATGGGAATGTGGGATTTTGGGAAGGTGGTACTGAGGAACATGGGAATTCCTGTGGGAATTCCATGGATGAATCTGAGTCATCCAACTCCCATGGGAATTCCATGGATGGATCCCACTGTTGTCCTATTCCAGTGGGAATTCTGTGGGTGGATCTCACCCCAATCCCATTCCCATGGGAATTCCATGGATGGATCCCACTGTTGTTTCATTCCAATGGGAATTCTGTGGATGGATCTCACTGTGGTCCCATTCCCATGGGAATTCCATGGATGAATCTCACCCTTATCCCATTCCAGAGCCCCCTGATGTCCATGTGTCCGGGAAAGAGGAACACGGGATCCTGACGTTGTCCTGCCACGCGTACGGATTCTACCCCGGGATCATCGCGATCAACTGGATGAAGGGGGATGAAATCCGGGATCAGGAGACGGAGTGGGGCGGGATCGTTCCCAACAGCGACGGCACCTTCCACAGCTGGGCCAGGATCGAGGCGCTGCCGGGGGAGCGGGAGCAGTACCGGTGCCGGGTGGAGCACGCCGGAATGCCGGAGCCCGGGATCTTCGCCTGGGGTGAGCCTGGGA